CAAGACAAACTTGTCTATCGGTTTGTCCTACTGTGGTGACATGTAGACTTGAGTTTTGAGGCTGAGCCTCTGGTGTTTAAAACCCAGCAAGTGCACCTGGTGCACAGGTAACAGCCCAGCTTGTAGACTGAGACAGACAAGGAAGAAGGAAGAGGCCGTCCACTTCTGAAAGAATTGGCCAGGGAAAACCTTATGAATAGCAAAGAAACACTGTATGTTTGTATGTATGTATGTATATCTTTTGAATTCCTTATCAGGTAGTTCTACTACCTGTTCTTCCTCAGGGAGATTTCCTGCTTCTTTAGTTTGGTCACTTGCTTCTGCTATCTTGTCCTATTTCTTTGTTTGAGTTGAAGTTGTCTGTTGTCTCTGAGACATTTTGACTTTATGTTTTGGTTTGTTTCATCCTGTTGTGTGTGTGTGTGTTACTTTGTTTCGATATATCTGGATGTGTGGAGCAGGTGTGCTTCCTTGGTTGTTAGCTTAGCCACACTGGATCACTCCCCACCTGTCTCTAGGTCAGTGGAATAACTGATGGGAATGTGGGTGCAGGTTTCTGTTTGTCGTGACGAGTGGCTGCAGTTGGGATGAGCAGGTATTGTCCGCCATCTGTTGTTGATCCTGTGGAGCAAAGCCTGGCGGTGGGGTTTATCTGTTGGGTGAGGTGGTCAGTGCAGTAGATATGGCCGACTAGTGGGAGCTAATGTCTTCCTCCCACTGGAAGGGGCAGGAAAAAGAAGAAGAAGAAGATGAAGAGATGGAAAAGAGATAAAGACAGAACAAAAATAAAAGATGAAAAATAGAGAAAAAGAAATAAAAAGGGGTGTGGGCCAGATGAAAGATTGGTAAAAATGGAAGAAAGAAGCCTGAACCCTTAAAACTATGCTGCTATTACTTGTGCAAGTTTTTAGGATAAAGGAAATGGAAGTGAAGATAGAATGTACAAGAAAATATGAACTAACTGAAAACTGACTGGTCTGTAAATGTTTTTATTCATGCTACTAAAGCAGTGTTGTGTCAGGTGCTGTCAAGTTGGTTTTTGACTGACAGCGACCCCATGTGACAGAGGAGAACTGCCCCACAGGGTGTTCTAGGCTGTGATCTTTACAGAAGCGGACCATCAGGTCTTTTTCTCATGGAGCCGTTTGGTGAGTTTGAATCACCAACCTTTCAGTTAGGAGCTGAGCACTCAACCATTGCACACCAAAGCTCCTTACTAAAATAATAGTGGCAGATGATTCTCTGGCCTTTGAGGGCCTAGTGACAGGAGTAGCAGCAGGAGTGTATATGTGTAGATATGACTATGAAAAGTGGAGTGTAGATTGACTCTAACAACAGGAAATACTGAAGGAACCAAAATCTCTCATAGCAACCCAGACTGCTTGAGAAACTTTCTCTGCTCTTAAAAAGAAAAACTTGTCTAGGTTTTTGCCCCTCTTTTATACTGCATGATAGAGTTATTTATTTATTTATTTTATTTAGCTTTTTATTGTGATTTGAGTGAAAGTTTACAGAGCAAATTGGTTTTCCATTTAACTATTCATACACGTGTTTTGTTTCATGACATTCATCATATAGTTCTTGTATTTATGTATAATTGTTAATTCTTTCTAAATTTTTTTTCCTAGATTGAAACAATTGGCAAAAAGGTGTCTTCAAAGAGAATTCCATATGCTCCTTCTGGTGAAATTCCAAAGTTTAGTCTTCAGGATCCACCTAACAAGAAACCCAGAGTATAGGCGTTGCCATTTTTATTTGTATGTTTTTGGTACTTCAGGAGAACAAATATCTATCTAATGTTAAATGGTTAATGAATGAAGTGTTTTTAAGGAAATAAAACTATTTTTTTTAATAATCAAATTTATACTATATGGATATTAGCATATCTGAGAATTATGAATCTAGAATATTTTTTACATATTTTTATAATATTGTTACATCAGTGATTGGATGAATGGAAAATAATCATGTTGGTTTTAATGGTGTTGATTTTTGTACAATGAAAAAATTAAACTTCAAATACTTCTTATAAATGTCTGTAGGTAGCACTTCAATATCATATTTTAAAGAGAAAGGACCTTTTTAGTTTTTCTGGTCATTGGTTTATTTACTTATCGTTAAATATGTATTTTGAAGCTATAAAATTGCTATGCTAAATACTGGGCTAAACCTGTTAACCTTTTGGGGTTCTGGTCTAATTCCGTAAGGTTTTCCATGCCATCTTTTGTCTTCTGAAAAGGGATATGACAAACAATGATAGGCCCTCTTGTGCTTTAGTTTCTGTATATGCATAGACCATTTTCCCTATGTTTCCATTTTAGACTTAACCTTGCAAAAATGACCTGGTTAAAGTCTCCTTAGTTCTTTTGTTTTAATGAGCTATATCACTGGTGTTTTAGCCAAAAATATTATCACTGTATAATCAATCCAAGTATTACTAAAAGGCTGTTTTTTTTTTTTTTTTTAAAAACATTAAGAGAAAATAGGTAATATGGAATATTTTTCTCCTCTTTATTTCTCAATTTTCCTTCATAATCATTATTTTCTAGTCCAAGAGCCAAAAATACTTGTTATCTTGCCTTTTCATTCTTACTTCTATTAATAATTGCAATTTCCCCATTTTTCTTCAAATAATAAAAACAATATAATCTCATGTTTAAAGAGTAGATTTTACAAATTACCTATAGCAGCATTCTAAAATAAGAATTTTTGTTTGTATGTATATCCATCTAGTTTTTTCTTACATCTGTTGTTGACCTTTCTATTTGGAATGATTGCTTTCTGTCGTGTTGTGTCATGGAATTACGTCAGATGTCCACTTGATGCTTGTGCTGTGCTGAGCTTGTGCAAACTGACTGAAACAGATGTAGGCCTCATCCTTCAGGAACTTTACAGTTTAGTAAGAAGACAGACAAGTATAAAGATGAGGACAGAAACATCTGTACAGACACCAAACACATAAATAAAACATGCTGTGTATCAACAGCTGTGTGAGTATATTTTGTGTCATGGGGCAAGTAACTAAGGAGTCATGGTAGTGTGATTTTAAAGGGGGAAAATCACTCTTTCCTTTTTGACACGAGGATATTACATCAGTCTCTGAAATAATGCAAGAAAGGGAGGGAATTTATATTGGCCAGTGGGCCAGAACTAGAGAGCCACCTACAAGCTAAGAATGGTTTTTACATTGTTAAACATGGTTACATTTTAAATGGCTATTTGAGTAGTATATAATATCCTCAATTTCACCTCTTGGCCCTTTAAGATTTACAGCCTTGGAAGCCCAGGGAGTAGTTAGTTCTCTGTCCTATAGGGTTGCTATGAATTGGAATAGACTTAACAGCAGTGGGTTTGGTTAGGGTTTTTGTTTGTTTTAAAATATATACTTTTTCCCCCTGAACCATGTGAAAGTAAGTTGCAAACATGATGCCCTGATACTCCTAAATACTTCTGTGTTACACAATTTCTGTGGGTCAGGAATTGAAGAGCAGTTTAGCTGAATGGGGGCTTACGGGTCGTGAGGTTGCAGTCAAGATGCTGGCCAGGGCTTTAGTCATCTGAAGGCTAGACTGAGGCTGGGGGGTCTTCCATGATGGTTCAGACATATATATGGTTAGTGCTGGCTGCAACTAGACATCTCCATAGGGTTGTTTGACAGTCCTCATGACATGGCAAACTGGCATCCCCCTGAGTGAGCGAGCTAATAGAGAGTGAAAGGGAAGCTGCAAAGTCTTTTATAACTTTGTTGTTGTTGTTGTTATGTGCCGTCAAGTTGGACCCAACTCATAGCAACCCCACCTTGGGTTTCCAAGGCAGTATCACTATAGAAGTAGATTGCTCAACCTTCCTTCTGAGGAGTGGCTAGTGGGTTTGAACGGTCAGCCTTCTGGTTAGCAGTCAAGTGCTTTAGGCACTACGCTACCAGAGCTCCTTCTATAAGTTAGCCTCTGTTATTCTGAAGTCATACTCTGTTATTGCTGCAACATCCTGCTGCTTCTTCAGGTCAGCCCGATTCAGCATGGGAGGGGACTGCAAAAGGATGTGGATACCAGAAGGGGAGAATCATTGGGAACTCTTCGAGGGTGGCTTACTGGTTGCTGTTGAGCAGATTCCGACTCCTGGTGACCCCATGTGTGTCACAGTACAGCTGTGCTCCATAGGGTTTTCAATGGCTGCTTTTTCAAAAACAGATCACCAGGACTTTCTTCTGAGATGCCTCGGGGAGGCAGAGTCAAACTTCCAACCCTTCAGTTAGCAGCCGAACATGTTAACTGTTGGCACCCACCCAGGGACTCCTGGAGGTTGACTGCCACAGGCTATTTCCTAAAAAACAACAAAGAATCTTACATAACCACAGCAGTATGATCAAAATCAGGAAATTAACACTGATACAATACTATAATTTATAGACCTTATTCACTTTGCTAATTATTCATTTTGACAATTTTGCTAATTGTCCTCCAATTATGTCCCTTATAGCAAAGGAAGGTCTCAGGTCCTGTGTTTTATTCAGTTTTCGTCGTTCTTCTGTCTCCTTGAATTAGAAACCCACCCTGTTTTTCTTTGTATTCCTACATGGACACTTTTGACAAGTACAGACCAGTTATTTTGTAGAATATTCCTCAGTTTGGGTTTGTGTGATGTTTCCTTGTGATTGGATTAAAATCATGCATTTTCAGCAGGAATGCCACACAGAGGATGCTCCGTCCTTCTCAGTGCATATGAGGTCAATTTGTTCCATTACCAGTGATGTTACTGGGTCACTTGGTTGGGGTGGTGTCTGCCAGGTTTCTCTGCTGTACTGTTTTCTACTTTGAAACTATGTATCTTGTTAGGAGATACTTTGAAACTATAAAACTGTTTCCCACTTTCATCTACTAGATTTGGTTCCCATTGATATTTTTACTTGAAACAATGATCATGACCAACGATAGCTGCCACTTCTGACCTGCGTTTGAATCTTGTAGCTATTGGATGTTGGCCCAGATAGTCAACTTTTCTTAAGTGTTAGTTTCTTTAGATATAAACCAAGGATAATAAGCCACATATTTAGGCAAATAATGAGTACATGATGTGTTTTTTTGCAAACCACACAACTGCCTTGAGTTGGTTTCCTATGCTCGCTATGTGCACTGTATGCAAGAACTACAGTAATACGTACTTCAGAAAGTGGTTTTGACATTACATTACATAATGCATGTAAAGCACTTGGCCTAGGACCTGGTCCACACTTAACACTCAACAAACGTTAGGAATTGGGGAGATTATGTTGGTTACCCATCCAGCAGCATACATTCCTCAGTCTTCTCCCCTCTAACAGAGCCCTGATGGTCAGATATCCATTCCTCCTCACTTGGTTAAGCTCACCTTCAGACCCAAGGAGAGGCCTGATTTTTCCAATTAAGTGATCTCAGTTCCCTTGCTTCAGAAATAGTCACATAACCAACCAATGCTGGCCACTGAGAATTTAGGGTCAGTCTGTGAGTAGGGTTCTTGGCTGTTGTTGTTAGGTGCCATCGAGTTGGCCCCGACTCATAGCAACCCTATGTACAACAGAACGAAACACTACCCAGTCCTGTGCCAGCCTCACAGTCCTTGCTACACCTGAGCCCATCATTGCAGCCACTGGGTCAATCCATCTCATTGAGGACCTTCCTCTTTTTTGTTGACCCTCCACTTTACCAAGCATGATATCCTTCTCCAGGGAATGGTCCCTTCTGATAACATGACCAAAGTAGGGGAGATGAAGCCTGGCTAGTCTCACTTCCAAGGAGCATTCCAGCTGTACTTCTTCCAGGACAGATTAGTTAGTTCTTTTGGCAGTCTGTGGTACCGTCAATATTCTTTGCCAACATCACAACTCCAAAGCATCAACTCTTCTTCGGTCTTTCTTATTCATTGTCCAGCTCTCACATGCACATGAGGCGACTGAAAATACAATAGCTTGCGTTGGGTGCACCTTAGTGTTCAAAGAGACATCTTTGCTTTTCATCACTTTAAAAAGATCTTTTGCAGCAGATTTGCCCAATGCAATATGTCATCTGATTTCTTGACTGCTGCTTCCATTGGTGTTGATTGTGAAACCAGATAATATGAAATCTTTAACAACTTGAATCTTTTCTCCATTTCTTCTGATGCTGCTTAGTGGTCCAGTTGTGAGGATTTTCATTTTCTTTACATTGAGATGTAATCCATACTGCAGACTGTAGTCTTTAATCTTCATCAGTAAGTGCTTCAAGTCATCCTCACTTTCAGCAAGTAAAGTTGTGTCATCTGCGTATGGCAGGTTGTTAATGAGTCTTCCTCCAATCCCGATGCCATGCTTTTCTTCATATAACCCAGCTTCTCGGATTGTTTGCTCAGCATACAGATTGAGTAAGTATGGTGAAAGAATACAACCCTGACACACTCTCTTCCTGATTTTAAACCATGCAGTATCCCCTTGTTCTGTTCGAATGACAGCTTCCTGGTCTATCTATGTACAGGTGTCTCATGAGCACAATTAAGTGTTCTGGAATTCCCATTCTTCTCAATGTTATCTCTAAATTGTTATGATTCACACAATTAAATGCTTTTGCATAGTCAGAGAAACACAAGTACACTTGTGGTATTCTTTGCTTTCAGCCAAGATCCATCTGACATCGGCAACAATATCCCTTGTTCCATGTCCTCTTCAGAATCCAGCTTGCATTTCTGAAAGTTCTCTGTCAATATACTGCTACAATCATTTTTTAGTTAT